AAGAATTGTGCCTGTTTATAAAAAGGATGACCGTACGTCCTTCTCAAACTATAGAAACTTCCAATTGATCTAATTGTAAGACACCCAGCAGAGCGACATACCCATCATTGAATAATATTGTGCCCAGATTTGCAGCAATTTTGACAATTGTTGCGCCGCTAAATGATGGTTTCGGTGCAAATCTCCAAATATATCATTTAAGCTTTCATTATTGTTCTGATGAAAAGCACCTAAACACCTGATTAAAAGGTCGTCTCTACTCATATTTTCATATATTGGCTGGATGGCTGTTGCAACTTCAGCGGACATGGCAGGCTTATGTTTATAATTAATTAAAATTCCTGCTGTGTTAGAATTCTGCCACGACTCCGATTGGACAATTATCATGTTCAGGTTTTTCGCCCAAATACTTTTCAAAAAATTCCTTTCAAAAAATTGCTAAACCATAATATGTCGTGAGCTCCTTTATAAGGTTTGCAGTTAGTTTACCTTTACCTTCTAAGCACTTTGCAGATTTTTTGCAATTTCATAATCTTGTGCTCATACGTTTTTGTACGTGATTTACGCATTCTTTTTTTACAATATCTGGTAAAATCTGCTTTACTATTTGGTCATACGTTTTTGAATCGCCATCACCAATATAAAAATCAAAAAATTTCTATCATTGTATCGGGTTCCATTTTACCTGCGGAGTCCGTGTGATTAATGTCACATTCCTTCTTATGGTCTTCCAGCAATATTTGATACTCTGATATATGTGGTTTATTTTTCCACAAAGCATATGCCTTACAGTATCTTGACTTGACGCAAATATCATGCATTTTCTTAAAGTAGTATCCTATGACTGTTACGGTATGTTTAAGATTATTTTTATAATGTAGCGATAGGATACAATACCCTGTATCTTTGTTATTTTTTCGAACTTCTTGCTAAAAATTTAAACAGACAATCTTGAGATGTGTACCTATTAAAATAAATAAAAAAAATCTATTTTTTAGACCGCTATACTGTTCTACCCCCTTAAAATTTTCATTAGTGTTATTACACAGTTTGACAAAAAGACGAGCACTAATATAGTTAGTACATATTTAGCTATCGACCCCCGATCGACCCCCTTTACACCTTCATCGACCCCCAGGGGGTCGGTACTGACCTCGTTGGGAACCCCTGCTCTAAAGCCGGATTTATATTTATCCGACGTGTCGTGTTGTGACGCGTCAGAACGGTATCGGTTGAATACATTTATTATGGTGAGATTTATATTTTTTGTGTGTCGCAATGTGTTGTGGTGCCTTGTGTTGTGTCGCATCAGCAGCGATCCCGATGTCCGTCAGAGCATCGGAGTGGGAAGTGACGCATAACGACAGATCAGACAAATGTACACCTGCCTTATGACTCGTCAGATTTACGTTTCTTCTTTCTTTCGATATTAAAATTAATTACATTTTACATTATCAGCATCGCTCTCAAGCTCTTTAACCAGGCCGTGAAATTCGCCTTTAGCCTCTCTCTTTCTGTTCACTGGATGAACCCAATATCTTATCTCTTTTTCCTTTTCTTAGAAGAGTTGCCAGTACCATAAAATGAATATTTTCTTCATAATTTGAATCAGAAGATTCATTGGAAAACATTATAGACTCACGTATGAACTCTTTGAGTGCTACGATTGTATTGATTCAAAATATCGCCAGAGTGCGTCAGATTCTGGATTCGCGGGAAGGTAGGCTGAACCGCCCGCAGCACTTTGACCTCAGCAGATCCCTTGTACTTACTTCCCTCATTTGGTCAGCATTAGGGCCCTTCCAGCCATATTACCTTGGAGGCAAAAGCTAGAATTTGTCCTGGTTGTGCTGCCCTGATTCCACTCATGCTAATCTGGATATCTCCAAAAATAGATAACCTTAATGTTTCGAGGGCCACGCAGTCGCATAAAATGTGTTCCGTTGATTCCTCCTCCTCACCGTATTCTCTGCAGATGTAGGTGTCACTTATTACCATGTTCAGTTAGTGATTCTGCAATCAGAATATATTATAATTTTTTTATTACTAATTTTTTTGGAAATTTCCTCAGCCGCCAGAGAAATGGCCACCAGCTCCGCTTGGAGCGCGGTGAGCCAAATTCCCAGCGGTTTAGAAATTTTTATTGTTGGTTCGACGGAATAAACCGAACCAGAACCAGTTTCCCTACGAGATCCGTCCACCCATACTTGGAAGACAGTTTCGTCAGGCCTGGATTGTTCTCCTACCTTTATTTCATACGGTCGTTCTAAGATAAAACGCGTTGGAATCGTATCTACCCTGCCATTCAGGAGCGGCTGTTTGTTACATGCGTCCCCCCATAGCTGGCTAGTCGATTTTCCACATTTCCCATTTGTCATTAGCCGCTCGAAGCCGGATCATTGTTGCTATCACCATCTCCTCAACGTGATAATTGAGAGGAGGAAGGCACAGTACATTCTCCATTGCTGCTATTGCTGTGGTTATCATCGAGCCTGTAACGTAAAGACAAGCCAGACGTTGCAATTTTTGTAGTTGCAAAACAATCGTTTTATTTCTAACTCTTGGCCACCAGTTTACGACGCCGTAAGTCATCATTGGACGTATCACTGCAGTGTATATCCACAGGGATATTTTGGGCGTTAAACCCCAGGAAGTCCCAACGGCCCTTCTGCACTGAGCGAACGCAATGCGTGCCTTATTTATCTTACCTTTGATATGCGGTCTCCAAGTCAGCGTTTTATCCAGGGTTAACCCCAGATACTTCACTTCATTGGCAAAGCGCAAGGGAACTTTGCAAAGCCAGGGCGCTCTAAGGGTACCCAGCCTTCTTTTTCTTGTGAAGAGGACCATCTCTGTTTTATTCGGGTTTACCGACAGAGAATTGTCTCGACACCAGCGTTCGATTATTCTCACTCCAGCCTGCATTCGGTCGCATAGGACGTTTTCGAACTTCCCATGAACCAAAACGGCTAGATCGTCTGCATAGGCGCAGACATTGAATTTTTCAGATGAAAGTTGTCTTACAAGGCTGTCCAGGGTGAGATTCCACAGCAGGGGTGATAAAACCCCACCCTGTGGACATCCTCATTCAACGATCGCTCTTATTTTGTTATCTTTCTTATTATTATTATTAGTAGTGTCAATTACACTATGGACAGCCCTTTTTGAGAGCATATTTAGAATCCAGTCCGCTAGTGCAGGCTAGACTCCTTTTGTCTCTAAGGGCTTTATTAATTGTATGGAAAGCTGTCCTGTCAAAGGTTCTTTCGATATCTATAAATACTCCGAGAGTGGACTCTTTATAGTCCAAAGATCTGTCGATAACTCCTACGATATCTTGTAGGGCAGTTTCTGTTGATCTTCCCAGAGTGTATGCATGCTGGCTTGGGTGCAGGGGAAACCTTTCCAGTGTNCGGGTTTACCGACAAAGAATTGTCTCGACACCAGCGTTCGATTAATCTCAGTCCAGCCTGCATTCGGTCGCATAGGACGTTTTCGAACTTCCCATGAACCAAAACGGCTAGATCGTCTGCATAGGCGCAGACATTGAATTTTTCAGATGAAAGTTGTCTTACAAGGCTGTCCAGGGTGAGATTCCACAGCAGGGGTGATAAAACCCCACCCTGTGGACAACCTCATTCAACGATAGCTCTTATTTTGTTATCTTTATTATTATTATTATTAGTAGTGTCAATTACACTATGGACGGCCCTTTTTAGAGCATATTTAGAATCCAGTCCGCTAGTGCAGGCTAGACTCCTTTTGTCTCTAAGGGCTTTATTAATTGTATGGAAAGCTGTCCTGACAAAGGTTCTTTCGATATCTATAAATACTCCGAGAGTGGACTCTTTATAGTCCAAAGATCTGTCGATAACTCCTACGATATCTTGTAGGGCAGTTTCTGTTGATCTTCCCAGAGTGTATGCATGCTGGCTTGGGTGCAGGGGAAACCTTTCCAGTGTCGTTTCTCTTATATATCTTTCACATAGCCTTTCAAGCGCCTTCCCGACGAATGAGGAAAGACTGATTGGTCTATATGATTTTGGGTCAGTGTAATCTGTCCTCCCAGGTTTAGGGTTGAAGACTACCTTTACTTCTCTCCAGGATAAGGGAACATAGCGCAATGCTGAGTGCGTCAGAACACAACATATAAATGTAAACACTAAGCATTACGTCAGAGCGCATCACGACACAACACGTCAGACAAATATAAATCCGGCTTAACGCATCGTACTTGTCCGCCAAGTCAACGTTCTTGTCTTCCAATTCACACACTCTCTTCAAGAGACTGGATTTTATCCGCAAAAACACGGTCAACCTCTCCAGCAATGGTTTCACATAAGACTTTTAAAAACTCATTATCTTTTATTATGTCTACTATGCACGATTTAATTAGTTCTCGTCGCTCGGATGCAAACCTTGTTTTTTCCGAATTCGGCATTGCGATGAATTAAGACTCGCTATGAAAAATTATTAAATTAAACTCGTGGAGCAGAGTTACACGTGCTTACTCGTTGAACATCTGATACGAACTCCATTCAATTCTTCAAGTCTTTGATGAATGCATGTGTACAAAATAATGTATAAACAATAATCTTATTAACAACAAAACTAAATTAAGTAACTATTTAATAACAAGCACCAATTTTACCTACAAAAAAATAATCCACAAATGAAGCAGGGATTCCCACTAAGTTCATGAAATTTCAGGTTAGATTTCTGTATCATGACATGACCATCGTCTAAACAGTAATATATAAGAAAAATTAAACTATCAAGCAATATATTACATATTTATAGATTAATAATACTGATTATAACGATATTTGTAGTTAAATTTATTTATTTTTGCAAAAAAGTTTTTAGATATTTAAATCATTGTCCTATAGATGGCGCTAACTATTATAACCTCTTACTCATATTACCAATTTAATACTTAAATTTATAAAAATGTATCTTTTAATAACTTTTGAAACACTTTGCGAAGTAAAAGAAGAATGTTAGATTGGTTACATGTGACTATTTATTATTCATGATTTATTAACACTAATTTATACTTAATTCTTAATAAATTTACATCTTGCATACAATAATTAGTCTTATCCCTAAATAACAATCAAAACCAGCCGGCGGCTCTTCTCGAAAATAGTTTCTATCTCCTCATTTAGCTGCCTACATTTCAATTTTAATGCAACTAATTCATCTTTGTACATTTCAACGCCTTCTTTCATCATTTTCTCTGCCAACATCTTGTAGTCTTCGAATTTGTACTGTATTTCCAATAATTCTGGATTAATATAATCCATTACGATACTATTAATATAAAAGATTCGTTAAATCTTTGTTAATGTACAGGTAAAGTTACTGTAACTTTTCGTATTGAAACTGAACTCGTTACAACTAACTTTATTTGTGACTAATTTCATGTCAATTTTAAAAATAATTTATGATTAATTAAATTTAATTTAAAAAAATGTAATTTCTAAAAATGTTTCATCGATAAATTAGGATTTGAAGTACAAAATATCAAAAATAAATTAATCAAAATTAATTTATGAAATTTGGGTTGTGAAGTTTTCGTTAAGTGGCGCCATCTCTTATGACATAGCAAAAGCATAATTGTTATTAATTGTTAAGAAAACTTTGTTTTATTGTTTCAATCAGTTTTTTTGTGTAATAATAATAATAATAATAATATATCTCTTTATTATCCAACAGGAAGACCCAATTACAGGATAATGTACAACAAAGTGTAATTTTGGTTGCATACTTGCATATATTTAAATTTATTGTATTTCAAATTTTATACAAGTCAAGTTTTTGTTTGTATTTTTATGGAAAGGTCGTTTTTGTTTTAACAACCAATTCTTTATAATATTACAAATTATTAATAAAGAAAAATATTACAACAAAAGGTGTTTTGGAACCAACGGCCCATCAAATTTTTAATAAGAAATTTATTAAAAACGTAAACATTAATATTATAATTAAATTGTTATAAACCTTAATTTAAATAAACAAATATACAGGGTGCGGCAAAACTCCCTCCCTAATTTGAAGGTTGAATAAAAAGTAGATGGTACAAATTAACGAAACTGTTAACATGAATTTATTAACATGAATGACTTCAGTCCTTGAAAAGATTTCCTGCTTACGTGAGCAGTGATCCCGCCCTCCTGAAGCCACACATTCTGTTGAATCTGTAGAGCATAGAGTCGTGGTGCCATAAAAGTTTGAAGCATTTGAATATATCGATCCGAGTTAACAGTCACTGTCACTCCTTCTTCTTCAAAAAAATACGGGCCTATGATCCCGACACTGCTAATCACTCACAACACGTTCACTATGCAGAGGCTTTTCATAGAGTTCACGAGGGTTTTGTGCACTCTAATAACGATAACTTCCGAACTCGCATTCTGCAATGTGTTGATAACGAAGGAAAACACTTAAGCGATATACTGCTCAAAATAAGCAACTTGTAAAACATAATAACGTAACTTCCCATTCTGTAGATTCCATTCATGTTAATACTGTTTCGTTAATTTGTTTTTTATTCAACTTTCAAATTAGGGAGGGAGTTTTGTCGCACTTTTTTATATTATACAGGGTGGCCCATTTAACATGAGACAAGCGATTATCTCGAAAATTTTACATAAAAACCCAACCCAACCCAACCCAACCCAACCAAATGAAAGTTAAGTTAAAATAATAGAAAAAGAAAATTCTTTTCTGTTTAAATGATGAAAATATTTATTTTTATTTGTTTTCGGTGCTTAGGGTGCAATACGAGTTATCGTATTTCGAATATTGTTATTCGTCATCAGGCCCGACTACAAAAAATATAGAATTGAAAAGTAAAAGAGTATCAATTAAATATTATAACAAATTAAAATATAGTGATTTCACAGAATAAATTAAAATCAACTAAACATTATTAAAATTATTAAGATTATATTTACCGTCAATTTATCTAGGTACTAAAATAGATGATATACAGGTTTAAAACATTGGTAATTAATAACATTCGAAACCATATTCGATTTCTGACGTACTTTCCATGTGGGCTCATAATTGAACAAGTACAAATCAAATGGACATCAAATGGAAAAGTATTTTAAGATATAAAAATAAACTTAGAATACGACTAAAAATTAATAAACTTTCTCATAAAGTAAAAACCACTATCTATATGAGATTGAATGTGGATCTGAGATTTTTAAGGTATAAACAGGGTTGGAAAAAAGGTGGGGTTTTAAATAAACTGGTATGAAAATTGACCAGATGTAATATAAAATCAAGTGCGCAAATGTATACATATTGCATACATATCATGTATGCATTTACACAACCTTGACCTTATTCTCAAGGTCATATGAAGGTCACGACCAGTTTTTTAAATGGCTCCCTATGTTTTTGATTTCAAAATCTATGGATAAAAGTAAAATAATTATAAAAAAAAAAGAAATTACCGTGTGGTTTTGCCAGAACGATGGCGAAACATCTTTTGTAGACAAAATCTAAATAATTTTTTTATTCAAATAGTTTTAAATATTGTTTATTTATAAAAAAATGATTAAACTATACTATTAATCAACAACAAGTATAAAATTTATAATAAATGTTTAAATATTTCCCCACCCACTTCAATACATTTATTAACCCTTCTACTAAAACTTTCTTTACATCTTAAAAGGTTTTCTTGGCTACTATTGCTGCATGCATTTCTTATCCGCTCTTTCATGTTTTCTCGCGTAGTCGGTACTTCGCGATAAACATTATCCTTAAGGACGCCCCACATAAAAGAATCAAGAGGTATAAAATTTGGTGATCTGGCAGGCCAGGAAATTGGACCTCCCCTTCCAATCCATCGCCCAGCATAATCCCGATCTAAAGCTTCACGTGCAATATGTGAAAAATGTGTTGGACGCCCATCATTTTACAGCCACATATTTTGTGTTTCTTTCCTGCTCAAATCTACAAGTAACGTTGGTAAGACGTCATCTAAAAAATTTCGGTACTTCTCCTCATTCAGCATACCATCAATAAAGTATGGACCGATCAATTTATCGATTAATCGATTTTCAAAATCACTTCCATAAAGCTGTTGATGCAATCAAATGTGGTATGGGTGATACTTGTTGCGCTTTAATATTCTTAAAATGTTGGTCTTCGATATTCCGTCGTCAATTGTAAGTCGTCGAGTGCTAACTTGAGGATTTACCTCAACGCTAGCTAATACCGCAATTTCCTTTTCTTCCGTAGTTAAAGTTGCTCGCCGAGTTCTTTTTCTTGATTCCACATTTCCAGTGTTAGTGAAATCATTCACAACTCTGTAAAAGGTGAAGTACCTTCTCGAAGACGTATTTCGATCAGGAAAACGTTCTCGATACAAAGCTATACTATCAGCAACTTTTCTGCCACTCTCTCCATAAATAAAAATCATTTCGACTTTTTCTGCCACACTTAGAATATCCATGATCTAATAATTAGAGCTCGGATTTTTATGCAGTCAAATTATAGGAAATATGCGCATAAATATGCAAGCTTTTTATTCAAAATATGCAAAAAATATGCAAAAATATGTGGAAATATGCAAACATATACCTTTCTTATAGTTGTTATCAATCTATTTCTATCACATTTTTGTATATGTTTTGCAATTTTCACATGTTGTTCTATTTGGGACTTCCTCTCACACGTTATGTTAAAAAAGAATAATTAAAAAAGTTAGCCATAGACACTTAACAGATTAAAAATTTAAATCTGAGACTATAAAACAGATTCGTACCTATTTTTCATTGTCGATCATATGTAAAAACATATCCCAAGAAAATGGGACATCAAATTTAATACAGTTTTATTTAGTTTTAATTTAACAGTTTTCCTTTTTTTTAACTCCTAGTGTAAAAGTCTATGAGAAATACAATTTCGGAACAAACCATTGGCAACTCCTCTGAAAACTCTAATTTTTAACTTAAATCTTTGGCTAAAACGCTACGACATAATTTTTAAAAAAATACTTACAACTTTGGCACAAGTTTTACAAAATAATTCCTCATTATTTAAATTTAGTTCGGGATAACTTTTTATCCACTGGGACACAATACACGATATCGCTTTAGGCATTGTTGTTATAGATTGGTAGATTAATGTTCACTCACACTGAACACAGCCACAGTAACTATGGTTGGGGATTTCCTTAAACTTAAACTCAACAGCGCTAGGGATTCCCCGCATGTTTCTGTGAATCGTTGTAAACAAGAAACCAACCCGCAATCAAAAATATCCTGTATTGTGCTTTAAACTGCAAGGTATGTTCGCATTTTAAAAATCAGCCAGTCATTATATTTATTGTATTAAGCAACAAGAAACCAATCTAGTAAAATGACAAAATATGCGAAAATATGCAGTAAAAGGCCAACAATCAAAAAAATTGTAAAAATATTCAATTTTTTATTGTACCATCTGCCTTATTTTTATGTAATTCGCCCAGAAACCAATTTTGAAAAAAATATTCCAGAAAATAAAGAATGACTAATGACTTAGTTTAAACACTTTGCCTTAATGTAAAACGATGGAATGAATTCAGAATTTGTTGCCAAACAGTTTTTATGCAAATTTAGTTTTACCTGTTACATTTTAAAACAATTAAGTCTCTGAAAGCGATATTCTGAAAATGCCGACATAAGCTGTTCCACGAACTCTTGTTTTTTAAGCGTTATTCTATTATCAAATTGACAAAGGCGGAGAAATGTCGGAACCATTTAGACCTCTTTCCAAAGGTATTTCCAACGAGCCAGATTTTTTTGTTGAGCATTCTTAAATAGTATGCTAAGAATTAAGAACTAAACGGGTAGGGTAGGACGGGTAGGAAAATGTTTAAAAATTCATAACTCTTATTTGTTCTTGCTATGTTATAAACGTTAGTTAATTGTTTCTGAAGAAGTTTCAGTTTCTTCAAAAGATGTTTTGCCGTTATACTGGGAAAACCACACAGTAAAATTTTTTTATTTGATTTTTAATTATTTTACTTTTTTCCATAGAATATAGGGCAGCTAATAAGGGGGCTGCTAATGCATTTCTGCACGTGTGACACACAACTGTTTTTCGCCTCCCATTAAACCAAGCAAAATTGCAAAAATATAAAATAAAACTAATTTTATAAATCTATTAATTTTATTAGTATGTAACAGAATTTAACAAAAACACTAGGAACAACTCAAGGAACAACTTACTCATTGTAGTAATTATTATTAATATTAATTATTCCTTCCGCACAGTTGTGAATAGTAATACTAGAATTTGGTATCTGGTAAGTGTTTAACGTACTAGTAGTAGCATTATGATTTATTTCTATAGATTCATTTGTTTGCTTTAATATATCAACCAGTTCAATCGTATTAGTAGTCAAGATTTTTTGAGCAATATTAATTTTATTAGATAAGCAGTCATCAATATAACCTTCTGCAACCGCAGAGGAATGCCAACCTCCATGCTTTTTCAGTGTTACCAAATCAGTTCCAGAGTTAGTTAGCAACGTTGCAGAATTTCGACGAAAGCAATGTCCTGTGTATGTACTGGATTGAGGCAGTTCTAAAAAAGTGGCAATTTTGCTAGGAATTTTGCTAAATGTATTTTTCCCGATCGGTTCTACTGTGCATTTATTATTCTTGTATGAAATAAATAGACGACTATGAGGAGTGTGGGTAGGTCTAAGGGTAACATATTTGTGGTATATTCCAAGTAAATTCAATCCATCAATTATTTTATTTGTGATTGTAAACGTTCTTGTCAGTAGTATAATAATGAGAGTTCTGGAGCGGAAGTTGCTCCCTGTGCTCCCTGCTCCCTGCGCATGCGCAGGAAGTGACGTCACAGCGCGGGAAATTTGGTGGGAAATTTGAAATTCAAAATTCATGTGGCGCCATCTGGTGGTGTGTAGTTAAACTAAAAAAGGTTGGTTTACCTGATGAGAGATAGGTGGCG